TTCTACGTTACTATCTTATTGTTAGATTAGGGATTTTGTTTGAAAATTACTTCATTTGCATGTTGTTGAATTTCACTATTGTTTTGATAATTCAAGCGCTTATTATGTAACTTGGTCTAAACGACGTGACCGCTCTTACGTTTTTTCTTTTCATTTTAACTAGATAATAATCTTAGTTGTTCTTGTTCTTTTCAAAACCGTATAAGTTCTTAACATATTCATCTAAAGCATTGTAGTCCTGCATCAGATTTATTTCAACTTAAGCTTCAGGTGAAATTTACCATTATTGATGCCATTTTGAATCCAGGTAATGAAAAAACCTTGTCTTTGTAGCTATGATTGAGAGAGTTGTGTTAATCTTTACTCAACATTCAAAACTCTAGTCTTTAACTTGGCTTTAAAAAAGTAATGCTTGATGAATTGCTCGATAATGTACATTTTGATTTGTTTTTCTTGAGATTTATTTTATTTATGAAGTAGTTTGTGACGCTGTATCATTAGATGTATTTTGTATAATTCCATGTAGTATTTGTGGGATAGAGATGTGCTATAGCTAATAGTTATTATGTTCCTATATTTATTTTATTAATTTTGATTTAAATTTATAGTATTTCTTATTGTAATATGTCCTTGTTATTAAAGATATTCTTTTTTATTCTATTTTATTATTTTCGCATCTTGCCATTTCATAGGCATATTTTACCAGCACCATATTTCCTTAAAGTAAAACATGTATCCTTTTATGATTTCTAGTTAGAAGCTATGTTCTATAGAAGGCAATTCAAAGTTGTGCTGGTAAAAAAATGGAAAAAGTATATAATCAAACAAATTATTATTCCACCTTTATAGAAGATCGGGAAGGCCAGCAACTATAAGGTTTTGAGGGAGGGTCAAGAGCTCTCTTATTGATAAATATTATGGAAAGAGTCATCTTAGTTGTGATCCAAAACTTGTTCTGTGACGATGAAACATCGTGACAAAATCCAAAGCTCTAGGCTACACAGAAGAAAAAGAAAAAGCGAGGCTGATAGAAAAAAAATTAAAAAGCTCCCATTTGCAGCTGAAAATGGGCTAAAGTGGGTTGTTCTTATCCTAGAATTTTATTGAAATAATTTTAAGATCACAATGCTCGGTAGGAATATCAAATCATTAGGTGGCCACAAGTAAATTTGGATCGTGAATAAATTACCTAATGGTCAAGATGGGGAGTTCGGAAATTTGGATTTTTAGATGATGATAAGGATGACTTTAAAATTTGAATTTGCTTAGGAATTTTTTTTTTGTATTTAATTTAATTTTTGGATGGAATTAGATTAGAAAGCATAAGGCTGTTTCTAAATGGAGTTATGGATAGAGTTTCTTTTGTTTGATTAGATTAGGAGAAATAAGATCAAATTTAAATCATTTTTTATTTTTTCTATAAATATGCTTTTTATTTAAGCAGGAGTTATGGATAGAGTTTCTTTATTTGATTAGATTAGGAGAAATAAGATCAAATTTAAATCATTTTTTATTTTTTCTATAAATATGCTTTTTATTTAAGCAAAAAGTGATTCCACTTCTCCTAAAAGATTTCTTTCCTCTTCCTCTCTGTCCGGGTATTGCAGCAATCATGTTGGCACTTTAGCAATTGCAGATACTGTAACAAACCACATTTATTATAGCCTACAACAAGAAAAGTCGTTCAATCCTTTAATTATTAACTCTTGTCATCACCCTTGTCTTAAAACAAATCTCAACAGTTTTAAAAATATTCCGTGCATCCAATTTTGGATTACTGGATAAATCCTTGAAGGCTCGATTATAGGATATTATCTTTGCATTGATTTGTTGCTGTCCAGCTCATGATTGGCGTATTTGATCTTAGCAGCTGTAAGTTATGGAAGTTTACCTAGCAATTCCTAATATTGGTTATCTTTTAAGTTTCTTTAGCTTTAGTTGATCCATCCAATTCCTGCAGCTGCTTGTATTTGTTTCATTAGAAGCTTTAATGTGGACTGGGAATCACAATTATGTTTATAAGATTCATTGATATGAGTTATGCTGTTCTAGATTTGGAGGTAGTTGACTTTAAGGTTTATTTTGATATTATAAATTAGAAATTCTAAGTCGTGTGGAAATTTTTATTGAATAAAATTTTTGGCGGCTTCAATTTTATGTTTGCTTATTGGGATGTTGATTCCTTCAACTGCGGTGCCGGTGCGACTATTTCTTTTTATTTTGGGAGGTGTTTTACTTGTAGGATGCTAGGCAATACATATATTGTGTTTGGTGATTTCTGATCGTGGTTTCTTTTCTATTACATAATTCAATATTGATCTTTGTGGGAGATTTGATTTTAGTTTAATTCATTACAACTAGGTTTTTTGTTTTTACAATGCGAATCTTATTGATGTGTGGGCTTTTGTTGGTTTTAAATTTTCTACTTTTTTTTAGATTATGATTATATTATCTTCTGTTGCATATTTTTTGTATTTTTTAGTTTTTATCAAAAGTTAGCCAATACTTATTTAATTGGTAATTTTGAATTACGAATTTCCTATCCGAATTGTTTGTTTTGGCTCATCAAATTATTAGTTATATTGGGAAATCTTTACCTTAAGATGTCTTGCATTGATTTGGTATCAAAGTTTATGGTTGCATTGTGTTGTGATCCTTCTTAATCCTACTTGAGTTAAATTCTTCTTGTTGCCAAACAGCCTTGGTGTTTTGAAAACAATGCTTTGATCATGATTATGTATTTGATTTTGAAAAGTTAAAGTCATTGAGGAAAAATTATGGACATGGTTAGTTATTTTGATAAAGTGTTACAAATGAAACAAAATCAACCTATGCTAGCATGGGACACAACTTAAAAAGCAATATTTGCTCTTAAGCGTATATATAAACCAATTGGACAATCACTTTATGAGTTATAAACAATTGATTATAGTACTTTTTAATATTATGCAAGTTTTGCACCTCTTGTCGCTGGATATATTATGCCTCTAAATCATATCACTACTTGTTTCCGTAAAGATCTTAGGTTAGACTTTAAGAATGACCTAAGCTAAAATTCATCGTGACTATTATTCAACGCTTTATCTATATTTTAAAATGTTGAGACATATCATGATTATTCAATTAAGACACCTGTGATTAATCACTTTAAGAAAAATTGATGCCATCTTCTCTAAAGCTATCCACATATGAGTATCATGTATGTTTGATTTAGATGTTTCTAAAGAAACTATGGATCATGAATATTTTCTAATGATCTATTTGTTGTAGAATACAATTTGTAGTTTCCGTCTGAAATTGTATTTGATATTTTTTAATATTAATTTGCAACTATAGTGGAAACAATATTATTTATGGTGGATAATTGAGGCTATCTTGTGCACTGGAGTGAAAGATCTGGATATGGTGCTTCAATGTTTGCTTTGCATAAAGCCCAACAATTATGCCTGGATTTACTCAATTAATCCGTGATAAATTATTTTTAAGCTGTGTAGAATTAAAGCAAATTGACAATCTAAATTTTGTGTTAGTTGAATTTACTTAGCTGTTTTTTTCTAATTCAATTTTACTCCATTGAACACGTGCTTATGATGATTCCATATGAAGCACGACTTGACTTGTGTTTTATTCTCTAGTTCTCCGTCCAGCTACTAGTTATTGTGTTTGTTTTGATCTGGTCTGGATTGATTCACTGATGGTTTTCTGTTTTGCTGTTGTTGATTCTCTGTTGATTCGCACATTGGAGTTCAATATTTTTCTCTTTGTTGCGGGCTTCTTTAAAGATCTTTCTGGGCCCTGTGCCTTTAAGTGGGTCAGAACGCTGTATTTTGGACGTTGAACTGTATTTCAGCATCTCAGGATAAATCGTACATGATCTTTATAGTTATGGTTATCCAGTTCGTGATTGGTGGTACTTAACCTCAGCTGCTGCAAGTTCCGGAAGTGTAACCAACGACTTCTATCATGGGATATCTTTACGGTTCCTGTAGCTTTAGCTGATCTATCCTGTGCATGTTTACTTGTATTACCTGATTTGGGAAGAAAATGTCACATAAATAAAAATTTCCGTCTCTTTTCCCCTTTTCAAGGCTTCTCAAAGCATGTGCATGCTCTTGCTCCTGCAAGCTTGTTCTACTTATTTATGCGTGCCATTTTTAAAAGGGTAGCATTCCAAGTTTGCTCTAAGAGCAAAATAAAACTAGAATCTTTTGGTTATAGATCACTGAAGTTACCATAAAAAGTATCTGATTAGGCTATTTGTTGTGTTGATTATCGTTATTGGGTTGATGTAAATCATATTAATTACTTAATGAATCAACTGCATAATTCCAAGCTCACTCTTCAATCATGAACGTGTCATGCCTGCATAACCTCATCATGAATAATATCGTTAGCACTCATATATGCTTCCTCTATCAATTGAATAACCACATAGTTTGCAAACCTTTCTTGGATCGAACTAAAATTGTGATTTAGGTTTCGTTTGGGACGGTTTTCTTTCTGCTTCTTAAAGCAGCTTTCTAATACAAAATTTTAATTTTTTATACTAGAAAGTTGCTTTAAGAAGCATAAAGAAAGCTGACCCAAATGAAACCTTAATCTACTAAACTTCGCTTTTCTGCTCTCTTGTTTTGGTGAATTGCTTGATCTATGTATGGTGCAATAATTGCTGAGTAATTGATACAAGTGTCCTTATCTTATTTATTCTTTCTGCAAACGCTGATGGATAATGTACTTCACATCTTTGCAATTTTAAGAATTTCCACGCTTCACCAAAAATTTATTTTGGTTTTTTGGGTGCTTCTGATATATATTTTTCATGTCAATAATTTTCCAAATACATAGAATTCATTTATCCAATTGACAGCAGTGATGTATGGATGAGCATAATGCTGTAACACTTTGCAGAAAGAATTCCTCATTTATTATTTTCTTACATTGTTGCTTTCATGTTAATTATTGGAGGAAGATTATTACCTTTTGTCGTCTCGTTTTCTCAGACTGTAAGTTGTTCATGGAGACGGTTGAAAAGCAAGCTGAAGCCGCCGGAAAGAAAGAAGAAAAAGAGAGCAAAGAAGCTGATTCTGCTGCCGGAGAACTCGAGAAACTCTCCGTCGGTGAACCCAAAGGCGATGAGAAGGCTAAAGAGGAAGCTCCTGTCGCAGCTGATGAAAAGGAATCGGAGTCCACTGAAACAAAGGCTGCGTAACCAAACTTGGGAGTCTAGTAGTCCTGATGCTTGAGATCACATATTTTGTCAAGTCTCCATTGGTTCTGCTACCTCTCTGATCGAATTCCGGGCTTGTGTTTTATAGTATAAGATATGAGTCGAGAGTTTTTCTTGGTCGTCAGTGACGGTAGTTTTTCTTCTTTGGGTTGCTATTTTTTCATAGAAGTAGCCATATCTGGTCGTGTGAAAATACTAGTAGCACATCGGAGATGCGTCCGTTTTATGTTCGAGGTAGCTTCCAGACTTCCATCCTCCTTGGTTTCATTATTTTCCATCCGCGTTACTGAGATGATCTACTGTGCTTTTTTTCAGATTAAGATTGTTTGAATTTTAAGTTAATTTGTGGTATTGTTATGGTTCTATTCTGAGGGAACATAGTGCATCTTTTGTTTTGTTTGTTCATGATTGCAGATGATAATTTTATTTGTTGGCTTGTGAATTTTTCTTTTTGGTGTTAAAACTCACCTACGGACCTACGCTTGGATCTTCAGTTTCCTACTGCGCAACTGTGCTAAAAAAAAGTTGAAAAAACACCTATGAGCTGATGGTATCCATTAAGCAAAATTAGAGGAAACAGTAGAAACCTTGATTAGGGTGGCAAATTTGGTGGCTTTGTGCTTCTGTTCACTGTGAAGCTCTAAATTCTAACACTAGCTGATGTAATGCGATTTGCGTGGGATGGATTTATTTTATGGCACGTTAGCTTGTTGGTAATTGGTTAATTAGATGGCACAAGTTATTGATAATTTGATACATGAAGTCACGTCTAAGACGGCTTAGAAATTGTCAATCCCATGAACTCTTTCAACTCAAATCAAAATCCATCGTTGCTTAGTTTAGTTGGCGGACGAGTACGATTGAAAACCACCAATTTCTACTCGATTCTTTTTGAGCGATAGTATCTCTTGAGTGGGGCTTAATCAAATGGCTGCCAGGAGATTTTAGGTGGGTGTTTTTTCTAGGTTTAGTTGCGGATTAGTTATGTCGCTAAGTGCCTTTTTGAAAATGGCAGCGGGTAGATATCCCGTTTCAAAAAAAAAATACAAATCAATAATGCCACTAGAGAGGTTTATAGACGTGCTCCAGTTTTTTGAACTTATTTTATGGGTTGAATCAGGATGCAGTATGAGCAGGCAATTTTAATATTTGTATATATAGAAGATTTATACTAATTGATAGGTCACCAAAAAATATTTTGATCGGGCACAAATCTTAATGCAAAATTGAGTTAAAAGCTTCCAAAATTAGATATGGGACCATCCGAACTCCAATATCAACAAACTTATAATCGAATTGAACGTCTCAAGATGACGAGTCCAACGACACCAAAAGACTTCTGATGGTTCTAGAAAGTACCTGATGACGCATTTGAAAAAATTAAAGCTCTCCTCTTCTATTGAAATAGTATTCCCTTGTTATCTTGATTAAAACTTAACTTGAAAAGGTTATGGTAAAATATTGAATCAAATACATTTATCACATATTAATTGGCTGTAATGTTGCTCTTATTAATGCAGCAGCCGGCGGTGGATGGTGGGCGGTTGCCACGGCCCGGCATAGGCCATAGCTTACTGCCTTTAAAAGAAAGTCTTGCCAGAGAGTGTTCCAAAGTATTAGAAATAAAATGATCTTTTTTAAGCCAACCAAGTTAGAACTAGAAGGAATCTTATAAGTCAATTCTTATTTTTTTTGTAAATAAGATTTTTTTTTTGAGTCACAATCTGAGGGCAATCAACACCGCAAAATAAAAAAGTAATATCTGTAAATTGAATACCATTGATGATAATATAATTTTGATCATATTTTGTAACCCTCAATTCAAAAATGGGTAGTGAAATGCTTTCTTTGAACTAAGGTTGCTTGCACATTTGGTTATAAATTATCCTTTCTATGTATGCTACAAAATGTTTGAAGACAATAGATCTGTGGTAATAGGCAGCACCAGGTAACTAAATAACCAGACTCATTAAAGAAGTTTGAAAAAGTAACTACTGAAGCTCGGATCAATTCTGACTCGACTCGCTAGCTCGTGAGTCAACTCATTTAATAAATATCAACATTAAATATAACTAAAAATATTAAAAAATCAAAACTTTAATTAATTTTTTTTTTAAATATTTAAAATCATATCAAACAAAATTTTATTATTTCTCATCTAATTTTGCATTCTTTTTCTCATTTCCTTACAATAAAGGATGAGAACAGCAAAATAGGAACAATAGATCTCTATTATATTTGATAATTTTATGAATAATCTAATTTATATTTAACAAGCCACATTATCGTAGAGAGAATTACTTAGCTCCGGTTGGATTGAATACAAGCTAGAAGCAAAACAGGCAAACACCATTCAAAGAAAGAATTCCATGAACGGAGGAATTTAAAGGCAGACTTTGAGCTATGAAAGAAGGGAAAACCTGCATGTTATTTGATATGTCCTCAAATTTTCAATATATATTCCATCTATTTGATGTTTTCAATAAAAAAAACGATCAATTCTTGCTCCCCAAATAATACAACTAATTTATGTGTCCCCACTAAAAGAAATTCTAGGTTTCATAATCATGGAATGAGGATACTGATCGACAAAGGAGATGTGCTTTCGACAGAGGCCGCTTTGATGTGGCAATGAAATGGAGGAATACTATGAGCAAGTAAACAAGTGAGGTGCGAGGGTGATGAGTGTGTTAGGCTGGCCTCTCTTGGGCCGGTTGAACCAGTCACTAGTGGACCGGTTTACACCTACAGCCGGCGGCCCAAGGTACTGGGTGGAACCAAGGAAGGGGGAGAGAAGGGGCCGACTGCTACTATGGGGATCAAATGCTAATTAAATTTGCTTTGGAGGAAAATTTTTTAATTAAGGGGCTATTTAGAGAATTTGTAATTTTCTTTTGTCTTTAATTAATTTCTTTTGGGGGGTTAGGGTTTCATCTTGAATTTGAATTAGAAATTTGAGATCTCTTGTGTGCTTGGGCTGGGCTCTAGTCTCTCGACTAGAGATTTAGAGAGTTGTTTCTTCCTCTTAGATTGAAGAGACATGTATCTTTTGCTGTATTTCTACATCCGTTAGTGGACTCCTTCATTGTTCCCACAGATATCACAGTTTTCTCAAGGTTTTCTGCTTTTGGGTACGTGTTTTCTATCAGAGTGTTGAGAGGAAGAGGGAAAAGAGAGAGTGAAAGGAAGAGCAGGTGAGGCATGAGGGCAAGTATTGGGAAGAGAGGGGGGAAGGGCGAAGATGGAGTGATATATAGGGGGTTAGGTTTATTCTTTTAATTCTTTTTGAAAAATTTCACTCTTAACTCCTCACTGTGACTATAGTTTAACACAACATTTTTATTAAAATTATTAAATGAGTTCGCTTGTCGAGCCCACAGGCCAAGCGTCATCCAGCCCAAGCACATTAATTAGCTCAAACTCAACTAGTCTATTTATTAAACCTGTGCATCACATCCACAAAGAAGTCAAACTTGAGCTAGCTCAAATAAAAAACTAAAGGTGGCTCAGCTCACCTACATCTTAAGTCTGTGTACCCATTCAAATACAGAAACCAAATAGTTTTAACTATTTGGAATCGGCCTTCGTATGAGATCAAAATTTGCTTAAAGATGCTAAGTAAACATAACCATCATTATTCAAACTGTTTGGCGTCAGCCTTACAAATGGCTATATGCTTAAAGTTCTTTTCATTCTACTTGAGTACTACGCAGTAAGGTTCTTCTCTACATGTAAGGCTGATAAGCTTAACGCACTTGATAAGCACTTTTTTATAGTGATGTATCACTTTTTCTTATAACAATATTGAACAATAACTATAAATTTCTATGCTACTTAAGTCTCCAATGGAATCATGGACCAGAAAAGTGATAATTACAAAAAGCTTGACCAAAATTTTAAAGAAAAGTCAAGTCTGTTTGGATTGTGTTCGATTAATCTTATGCAAACCTAGCTTGATCCTTGGCTTAGCTTGGTACACCTATACCTAAGTTCTTTAACTGAGAAAAAAAAATTCTTATTTTCCCTCTCCCAATGATTGTATATCTCGTTGGCTTGGCCCAAGCAGATCCCTTGTCCCTAGATATTTTCAATTGCTGCCTTTGGCGCCTTTGAGGATTGAAATTGTGAACGTCATCAAGAAAAAAAAAATAATAGGAAACACATGAATATTTCAAGAATTTTCTAGTGATCTTTGATAAACAGCGAGAATTCTCCACAAAACTAGAAAAACAGTTGTTAATTTGTATTATTTGATGAAATAGAAATGGAAAATATCAAGATACAATTGATCCTCGATTCGAGAGGAGGGTCTATCTCTCCCAAATCTCTAGATGCCGCTAGAGCCCAAAAACCTAAACCTAAGAGATCTCAAATTTCACCCAAATTCAAGATACCCTAACCCTAGGAAAACAAACTATTTAATGCATACAATCTAAAAGGAAATCTCTAAACAGACCCTACATTCAAATTTCCCTCCCAACTCACTTCAAAATCCTTCCTAAACAACTCTGTCAGATCCGGCGGTCGGATCACGCGAACAGGATGGCGGAGAGTTCCGCCTGCTTCTCATGGGCCAGTCCCGTAGGACTGGCTCGATCGGTCTAACAAAAAGCTTCCCCATAAAGAACATACTAACCAAGTATAAGCAATCAAAATGGCAAGGGATGATCTAAATAAAGAAAATTAATTGGTATACTTAGAATTAAAAAATATGAAAATTAACATAAAAGAAGAAAAATCTGTTTGGATTGCGGGATTGTAGATAATGATATTCTTGAAGCACTGTGCTTCTATCAAACAGGGTTTCTTGATAGATATTTGATCCCTAGATAGAATAATCTGTTGGCCAATCCGTTTCTCACAAAAAACATTAATTTAGGTAATATAATTTATGAACCGTTCGTCTATTGAGTAACCAAATTAGCAAAGAGAGAATAAATGAGATAAAAGACAAAGCTCAGAAGGCTTCAGTATGATAGATAGAGGAGAAGAGAGCAGGCATGAAGCTCGCATTACTCATAGGAGGGCATTAAAGCTTGTTAAATATTAACAAAGGAGAAGTCATAGATAATATCTTAAGAGGTCCCAAAATAAAATAAAATAAAAACTCATTTTTGTGTTTGCAATAATGTTAGCATATAGATCATTCAAACACATTCAACTCACATACAAACCACCCAAAAGATGTCAACCAGCATAAAATTCAGCTCAAGCTAACAAAAGAACTTTTGAAACTTGAAAATCAATCAGGAAGATTTTTTTGCCATGATAAAACTAAACAGATAACAACATACATGGCTGTTTTTCTTGCTTTGCATTCTGTAATCTAAACTTCAGTGAATGTGTCATAAACCAAACCTGAGCGAAGTTTCCAGTGTGACAGTTACCCCCAACTCATATCCTACCCTTCAAACTCTCATAATCTGGATCGTCAGTTGGCAACTCATACCGACACACAGGACAGGTGTTCCGAATCCCCAACCATGGCAAGATGCAGTCAATATGATAAAGGTGAGAACATGGCAGTTGGTTTGCCCTCTCCTCCAGTGAAAACTCATCCTTGCAAATTGCACACAAATATTTGTTGTTTGCGAAATCTTCCTCTGTAAGCATGATGGATGGGAGTGCGTCAACAAGAAGTTTGGCTGCCGGAGGACTTCCTCTGATGATATTATCATGGTCCAATAGTCCAAATTGGAACTCATAATCGGAAGGATCGGCAAGATCGATGAAGACCATTCGATCATTCTCGGGAAGAAGTGCATCGATAAGTGAAGTATTTACATGGTTATTCATAAACAACATAAGTTCCGAGACAAAATTGCTGTCAGTGTCAATGAAGTCATCTTCTTCCACATCTCCACTTGCCTCTTCTGGTTCGAGATGGACATCCACTACCTCTCCTCTTCTACTCGATGTCACATCATTTTCATTGCCCACCATCATGCCAAGAACTCCACGATCATCAAGCCGATCATCCACTTCCTCCCACTCGAACTCTTCGATGGAGTTCCTCCGCCCGTCATCCGTTGGGATGAAACTCGAGCTAAGCTGACGGCCAAGATCGTCTGGTGCCTGATTCGGGGCTATACTACCGTTATCGCAATCAGCAGCTTCGATCACGCCATCGTGCTTTGACGAATCTGACTCAGATCCGAACCCGACAATCCGGAGGTCTCCGCCGTGCGATTCAGGACTGCTGACAAAGAGTCGATTCCCAACCGCTCCTAATTCGCCTCCATCGAGAAAATCATGAACAGTAAAATCACGGGAATCTAGGGCTTCAGGATCGGGGTCGAAAAGAGGCGACGGAGGTGTGTCGTCGGATAAATCGCGGGCAAAGGGTGTGTTATAGTCGGAGCAGTCAGCGGCGGCAATGGCAGATTCCTCGGAATCGGAAAAGGAGCTCCGGCAGGCTGAGCTAAATACGGGGTCGGGGAGGATGGGTATGAGGGCGGAGGACCAATATCGCGATTCGTCCTCCTCCTCCTCACCGTTCTCAGCTTCTTCTTCTTCTCCTCCTTCCTTGTCGAGGCACTGGAAGAGCTCCACGACCTCCGCCATGGAAAAGATTGAAAAGTTTAGTAATCACCGGCTAATTTGCAACAAAAATAACCCTTTCCCCGCGAATCCTTAGCGGCTGTTTGGGATGATATTGGATTCAATTTTAGTAGTAAATCTGGATTTAGTAAATGCTAGGCTGATAAATTCTAAAAATTGTTTGGTATGATAAATTTTAAATTTTATTAAATTCAAAGAAGTTGTTTGACAACAAATTAAAAAATTTAAAATATTTGAAAATTTAAAATTGAAGGAGTAATATGAAGCAACATCAAATTCATGCAGGCTAACTTCAAATAGTTTCATAGAAAAAAATAATCGCATCAGTAACTACTTTCATGTTTGGAACCTAGCTGATAGTTTAGCATAATAATCACCATAATAAAGCATAAAATTTTAAGTCATCTTAAAACAGCTCATAAAGAATTTCCATGGCTTTTTAGTCACACATATGAAGCTCATTTTTTTCTAGTTTACTACCAAAATTTTGATAATAGATCAAATTAAAAATATTTTAGCATATAAACCATTCATACATTCTATCACCAAAAGAAAAAGTTACAAAATTTTATTTCAGGATCTCACATATTTCTTCATTAAAACTACCTCTTTGAACTCCTCTACAATATAAATTCCAAAATCAAGAACAATTAAATAAAAAAAAAAGTCGCAACACATTATCGTTGCTTCTTATTTTGTCAAGTTGGGGAAGAAAAAAAAAAGTTTCGGTGATCTGGGGTACCTACGTGATGTTGAGAGAGATCCGACAAGAATGCTTTGGAAGCGGCTAGGGCAGACAATGAGGATGAAGCAGCTTCTTCCATGTAGATAAAGAGCTCTGGCAACACATCGTGACACGGGCGCCGCAGGAAAAAGTTCTACAACTATAAATCGTGTTAAATCCAAAAAGGAATGGGATTAGAATTTACACTGATTTACTGGATTTATGCCGTAAATTTGTAAATCATGGATTTACGGATTCGCCGGATTTACAACGGCGCAGATTGTGTTTGGCTGGATTTATGTCAAATCCTACTAAAAACGATGGACGATTCCGATACCAAACACCCCCTTAGGAAAGAAGATTAGACAGAACAAAGAATTGTGAAGATTTATAATCATTAAACATGTACAAGGGTAATTATAGATTCATGGAACATTTTAAAGTTTAGGGTTTAATATAAAGGTTAATTTTTTTTCATTTCATTTCATTTTATTTTATTTTATTTATGTTTTTTTTTTCATTTTATGATTATTTTAAAAGTATGTGTTTTATAATATTTAGATAATAATAATAATAATATTGTTACTAATATATTATTATTATAAATTTTTTTATATTATTTATTTATTTTATTAATTGTTACTATTATTATGATTATTATATGGGCTTATTCTAGGGATATAAATTTAATATATTAATTTGATAGTGTGAAAATTAAGAATATTAATTGTAATAATAAATTTAAAATTTAATTGGTTCAACCGTTCAAGGCAATATTATGTATTTCATAATTAGGATATTTAATATTTACTTTTAAATTATTACATTTGAATTTCAATAATAATCTTATTTTGATATTAATGATATATATAATTAATTTTAATAATTTTAGTAATTATGATGATTTTTTTATTTGATTATTTGTATTAATTAAGTTTATAATGAATCAATAAAAAGATAATGCACTTTATAAATTAAATGATATATTAGAGGTCCTCATTTTGAAATTAATCTTTCTCATAATGTATTTAAGCTAGAATTTCAATATGAAAGGCATAATATTATCTTGTTTAGTAAATAGTTAAAACTAATTAAATTCAAAATTAGTTGAACATTTTGATAATTATAAAAGTGTCCATCATCTCTAAAGTAATTGTCTACATTAATTAGAACTAATGCAAAAATTGGGATAGTGGATATAATTCAAACTTCATTTTCCACCAATTATATTCAATTGAATCCAATTGAATCAACAAAAGCATAATTAGAAACTTCTCATGAACATTCATGGGATAGCACATCCTCCAAAATTTGTGCGATTATAGTAGTATATGTATCTTGACAAATCAAAGGTTATGTACATTTGAGTTAATTATGACATTGAAATATTTAAAAATATTAAATAACCATGCACCTCAAACCGTTCGATTGACCATCCAAGATTCTAGAAATAGTCAAAATATCTCTTATTAAAATAATAAAATCTATAAATAAGCCATGGAGTTTTCATTGAAGAGAAATTTGGGATTCAAGGATTCAAAAGCTTTGATCTTCATTTCTTATCACCCATTGACAATCATAAACATATTTGTCATCAGCCATCATTTTCCACCCATCAATCGACATCATCAACCACTGCCTATCTACTTCCATATGCAATGACCATTATTTGTTAATATGATTAAGTTTTTTATGTTCATAGCACATTGATCCTTCATCATGTTAGGATTATGTGTAAAAATAGAAAATACATTAATAATCTATTTATGAGAATAATATCATAAATAATTTATGAAAAAATATATTTTAAAATTATTATGTATTTATCATCATCACTTCATCATGGAAAAAGTAGCATTTAAAATTTAGTTCATCTTATATGATGCTTACTCAAATTATTACAAATATTATTTTTATATTGTTTTATATTATTATTCTTAAGAATGATATCATTATCTCTTTATATTTTGTCATATTTTATTTTTTATGTAATAATTAGCATGCCCTAGCTTCTTTCTTTATCATTTGGTATTAGAGCTAAAAGGGTGGACATCTATTAGATATGAGGCAAAGTTTGGTGACTTTTCCCTCTCCTTGTGATATTTATTTATATTATAATTAAATAACGCTTTTAAATTCTTGCTCTTCAAAAGAATTTAAATTTTGTTTATTATCAATTTCATAAGGTGTTAAAGGCTTCGTTTGGATAGCTTACTTATTATTTTTTGAAGCAGCTTTTTAATAAAAAAATATTTAGTTTAATTTTTTTTTTGTGTTAGAAAATAATAAGAAATCTGCCTCAAACAAAGTCAAAATTTTGATGACCATCACATAATAAATTTTTTATGAGTTTCAACCCTTTTTGAAAGATTGCTTGAAAATAAATTTATCTTTCGTGTGATGCACCTAAATTTAATTTAAGATTTTTTTAAGTTTTTTTAGCTTATCTTTCCCATCATTTTTAGAAAAAGTTTTAAATTTGGTGGCTAGTTAGGGCTAATTCATTGGTGAATACCAACTCTTCTTGAAATATTTCTTAAGTTCATCGCCTTTATTTTATTTTTTTCTATGATAAGTTAACGGAAGATATCTTAGGCTTAATTTGAGATAGCTATCTTACTATTTTCTAAATCAGTTTTCTATTACATTTAGTTCAAAAAATTTATGTGTTAGAAAATTGTTTTAGACTGCTTTTCCAAGCGAAACCTTAGTTTTACTTATTTATTATTATTCTTAAATTGTTTTTACTATTATTTTCTTAGTTATTGAGTGTAATTTCTTTCATTTTAATTTCATTTTTTATCAAGCAAACAATAAGAAGCTAGGCTACATAAACATTTTAAACTCTAATGATAGAGTTTCTTGAAGCGATGAAATATGATGTAGAGCATGAATGTCACGATAAAAATTTAATTATTTGTTAGTAAGTACCTTGTAAATATATTGATTATCATAAAAGCAATTATTAAGATGTACTATGTTTCCAATTAGGGATGATTGCAATTTGAAGCTAGGGAACATTTATTGGCCTATTGGGTGACCTTCTATCTCTTTACCTTCCATTAAGGCTCCAATACAATAAAAATTGTTTTGAATATATTATTATCAATGATGCTTTCAATTAAATAATATGAAAAACAATTATGCAATCACAACTTAATGTCTTTAGATTTTCTTTTCTTTAATAAATTTATATAATAATATACATTTTAGGGATGCTAAAATATATTTTTGAGTTGGATTCAGATCCAACCCGAAACTGACTTGCCTTCAACTGATCTGACCCGATTAGATAAATAATTGGTCTGAAATTTAGACCCAAAATAGACCCGCCCCTTATTTTGGTTGACTTGACCCACTCGCTACCCACGGTGGCGAGCAGGAGAGTGTCGAGCACGACTGCGTGAGCACTATTGCGAGGCTAAGAGTGGGTGCTAGCGAGGGCACAACAACGAGCAAGTGAGGGCGAAACAACGGGCTAGTGAGGGCACAACTGCAACCGTGTGAGGGCAAGCTAGGTTGTGAGCGAGCGAGGAGGCAAGTGTGGTTGCGTGAGCATGGGTGTGAGGCTGCGAGTGTGAGTGTGGATCTCATAAGCAATCTAGGTGAGTGTGATAGTGGAACGGGTTGCTTTGGCGGCGTGGTGCAGGAGGGGGAGAAGTGGGTCGAACTCGGGTCGATTCCAATTAAGTTAGCAGGTTGACCCAAACATGACCTGATCTCTAAAAAGAGTCCATAATTAGAACTCGAATACGATCCATTTGTTAAACAGGTCGACTCGAAATCAAATTTTCTGAGTCAAGTTCAAGTTGAATTTTGGGTTCGATCATTAATTGACACCCATATTGTATTTTAATACTTATAATTTTGCAGTGAGCTATATTAAAATATAATATCAGGGTGAAATCATATAAGGTGTACTTTCCCCTATATGATTAATGATGAAGCATAATGGCTTTCTCCTATTAAGGGTTTTTAACGATCGAGTTCCCAAGAATGTTAGTTATATACTTTTTTATATTATTATTCATAAAATATAATTTTATCTTTACCTTATGCGATAATCCATTGTTCATGTTGTATGTAGTTTGCACTACAACCTTTATTATTTGGTATTCGAGCTAAGAGCTTGGATATCGATTACAAGTGAAATAAAGATTTAGTAACTTCTTTCTCACATTGAAATGTTTGTTCATATTATTAGTATCTCTTTTGAATATCACTTATTTTTCTTTGCACTTCACAACATTTTTATTTTTATTTTATCTTTAATACCATGAGTTAAGAGTAGTGATCATCTTATGCTGATTTTTGCCAAGTTTTAACCCTCTTTAAATTATTGTATAAAAATTAAAAGCTTCTTCCTCATA